TGTGGATTTAACCATTGGTGGTCTGTGAAAGCTGTTAAGTCTTATAAAACTCTTAAGCCCAGCTAGGGAGCCTTAATAGCACCGCAATAGGTAGGTTAGTCTTACTCCTCTCCACTTGGATCCTCTTGGTCTCCACTGTGGCTACGTTAAGCCTCTGCTCGGTGTAGACCTGGCGGATGTCGTTGCGGGCAGCCAGAGCCCGCAGAGGGTTCCTGGAGCCCTGGTTCCTTCTGGCTGGTCGCACTGCTCGCTTGTGTTCTGCTACAGCTGATGTGAGCCTGAGACACAAATGCACAAAACAGTGGTCATTTTCAATCCAAGCAACTGAGGACCTGAGAATGACAGGTTTGATCTTATTTATGATATGTTAATGCCAAAAATAACTTTTTGGGGATTTTTTTTAATGTCCGTTCCGTCTTTCGCTTAACTAAAATTAACTAACTTAACTAAACCAAGTTAAACAGTTTTACAATTACTTGTGTTGTTATTGTTGTTGTGTCGTCTTAAATGTGTGGATTATAAAGTTGCCACTGATGTTAACAATAGTTAGGACAGGATTGATGGCAAATGATCACATAAACAATACATTTTTGTCAATAAGATACAGAAAAAGTTCTTAGGAGAATGGTTAATAGTGTAATTTGTTATTGTTACGATTATTATAAACTAACTTTGGTGTATCGGCCTGGATCTGGCAGAGGTCCTCCTCCGTCAGAACCACACTGGAGTCCTGGAGGGCCGAGGGTGAGACAGCTTTGTAGAAGTTGCCGAATGTCTCGTCATCATCCAGAGTCATCACTTCTTTCTCCCTCTCTTCCGTCACCTCGATGGTGGATGTCTTGCTTTTGCTCACGCCTGACCCACACAGGAAGGAAGTAACAGGAAGTGTTACATGGGACTTTTTTTGATGAATTATGCTTTTGGTGAACAGAACAGTGAAAGACAAGGTCACAATAAGGTGATTCAAATATACAATATACAAAACGTGTTTGATATCCGGTTATGTGAGCTTGCTGTGTCGTGTGAGCTGTAATGTTTAATAAACACTTATGTGGCACTAAAAGAGATTTAAGATTGGGATTAAGTAAATGTGGAAATTTGATCACATACACGTACAATAGGCCCTTAATAACACAATGTGTGACTAAATATCATCCTTTATGGGAAATGACAACAAATAGGGGGACTGTACCTTTATTGTGGAGCTTGTCGAGGAAAGACTCGAGCTTGTCAAGCCTTTTATCTCCTTCCACCTTGACATCAGTTCTACTGGAGATTTCTGTCCAGCAAAAACAAACAGAGGCCTGATTAATCTTTACTTCATACACTTATTTATTTCAAATTATACGTTTTTAAAATTAAAATTGTTTTAAACAGTTTACATTTTAATTATTGATTAACTGAATGACTCATAGACAAGTTGGAGTGGAATGTCTACTACCTTCGTGTGGCTTCACAGGTGTGGCATTGGACTTCTTGAGAAAGATAAGGGGAGACTCTTCTTTTCCCGTATCTGACACAAGACCTGGTGGAAAAACAAGGGTGAAAATCAGGGCTGCAACTAATGATTCTTTTCATTATTGATTAATCTGTCATTTATGTTCTCAATTAATCGAATAATTGTTTTGTCTAAAAATGTGAAAAATACATATAAATAATTCCAAGGTGGCATATTCGTTTTATTGGACCAATAGTCCAAGCAAGCAGAGTCTAAGACCTAAAATACACTTAAAGGAATGGAAAAGTCATGCAAGAGAACAGAGATTTTGCAAGATCTGCTTATTGGCATATCACTGCAGAACAATAAGCGTGCTCAGGCCATAATGAATAAACAAACATTGAAGTTTCACCTCTCTTGGCCATGCGTCCGGCCACAGTGAACTGGGTGGAGTCGTTGGCTGCTCCTTTGCCTTTGTTTTTCCACTGCTCCTCCTTGTCTTTAAGGATCTTCATCCTTTCCGCCAGCGACATCTTGGGCTCCACATCTACACCGGACTTCTGTTGGAACGTTTATTCAAACAGACAGTTATGAGGACACAGTGAAGTAACCATGAGTGAGCAAGAAAGGTTGCATAAGGATAGGAGAAACTACTGGTGATGGTGAAGGAAGATATTGAGATAGAAATTCATTTAGTAGGGAATTATGAAAACTCCCATCACTTTCCAATGATTTCTGGGTGCTGGTGAGGTCTCCAAAAAACAACTAATCCAGAAGTTTTCACTGTGTTATTGAAACTTTATTTTTACAACAAAAAAAAAACAAAAACATGAAGAATGTTGAGGCCTGACAATAAAATACTAAAATCCTTGTTTATATACCGAGACCATCCATCACCGACTATTCAGTGGACTATTTCCTTGCGTGATTTACTCCTGCTGCCATTTTTGCACCTGAACTCCACCATTAAAAATTAATTAGCAGAGTCTTACTGGTCCCCCTGGTCCCACTGGACCCCAGGAACTGTTATAGTAATTAATGATATTCCACTGCTAAATATTTAAAGCGTTTTATGGCCTTGCCTGGGTTTTTATTGGCTGCCTCCTGTTATTCCTTCGCAAATAATGAGCAATTGACTGGGTGTAATGTAGCATGAGTGGTGGCTTCCTTTCCACAGTAGGTTATACACCTCCACACTATGAATACACAGGAAAAACACGCACAAAAAATAAATTCTAAGCAGATACACGGCATGAAGCAAAGTTATTGTACAAGATAAGAAAATGAAAAAAAAAAAAAGATATCCGAAACTTGATTTGGGAGTACTTGTGTTATCTGAATTCTTAAGAGAGCAGCAGCAGGCCAGTGTGTGCTGCAAGAGACGGAAGTAAATGACAAACAAATGATTGGAGTTCGCGAAGCCAAATAGCTTGTTACAGTCCTAGAGGAATTATCTTTGTGGATGAATGATGATCTGCTGACTATCACACTGTAATTCATAGCATCATCTTTACTGTAAGCTCTGAAGAGTCAACTAAAACATTCACAGATGTCAGCAGCTTTAAGGAGAAAAAGATGTTGTGGCTAAAGCGGTGAACTACAGCCAGACTGCTGCAGGAGGACTTTCATTACAAAATCATTTGTCCTCTAATTTTTGGCAATAAATTGATGTAGATACAAAAGTATATGCTGAACAGTTTGAGAAACATGGTCTGACCTTTCAAACTTTAGTTTCTATAAATGAACCTTCATGCCTGTCTTGGTTGTCTTAAACAAGCTAAGTTTGTACCAAGCGTGATCAAATGTATTTCTACATGAAAAGAGCAAGTAAAGAAATACAGAGATAAAGATATTAAGGACCTCTTCCTCAGTGGGGTTTTCTTACTCGAGAACTTCCACTGGCATGTCATGAGCATATTAACCAGACAACAGCTAGGAGTCTTCATTTTGTAGTTTTCCAACTCACAAAATGTGTTAATTAGCTGCAGCTGACCTCACTTCTTGGCTACAGTTGCCTTTAGAGCTAATGAAGTCAAACGCTGGTGTTTAGCTATGCAGCAAATTTCTACAGCTTGTTAAAAGGTGTACTTTTTAACAAAATTAATTGATTAGCCGTACAAGAGAAGGAACAACAGCAGACCGGATGTGAATTTTAAAAAGAAATATTATGAATAGAGCACTGTGACAAACAGGCAAACTGTCCAAAGAGGGCTTGGATAGTGTGACAATAACTCACAGTACAAATTATCAATGATATTTTTATACATTTTGTCAATCAACATAAACGTTAGTCACTACTGCATTACCTAAAGCTTTATTTCTAGAAAACTTAATTTTGAAAGAGAAGTCGTGCAGATCGGAGTTAAAAAAGCCAAAGCCAATGGTTGCTTGGAAAAGCAGAAGAAAAATAACTTGGCTGTTTAAGAGGCTCTGTGACTGGAAGGTCAAAAGTTTAATCCAACAACAGTCTGTGTGTCTAACAATATATTTACCGCTGAACTGTCCCTGAGCAAGACTCTCCAGCCCTACTTAACCAATCATTTTTGATACCCTGAGAGGGAAGGAGCTGGAAATTGCCCTGTGATATAAGAATAACGTAGTCTAATTTAAATAACAAGCCTGAGGAATGTGTTATTTGTCCTGAATGAATGTGACACATGGTGTGATATACAAACAACCATGTAGTACCTAAATGGGGGGAAAAAAAACACTAGTTTCCTTCTAACAATCTTCCACTCAAACACATACACACCCTCTCTCCATTTGTCTTTTTGCCTCTCACACAGTTTTTTTTGTGCTTTAATGTCAAACATGTTGCATGATGTGGTCAAATATTAGCCTGACATGAGAGAAAAGTTCAAACAAATACATTCACCCACACTAGCACACACAGAGTTAACACACTAGGGCTGGACATCAAAGTGAACTCTTGCTGACTTCATAACATGAAAGAATCTTCTGACCTACAGAACTGTTTCTATATGTTTTGAAGGCAGCATAAGTGAGAAACCTTAGTAAATCTAGTTTCTTTTACCTTTAAACTATTAATACTAAAGCATACAACTCCCAATAGCCTGCACACTACCTTACATGATCTTGGTACATTAAGGATTGTAAACTACAATACCTGTCATCTCACACAGTCTTAAAGCCTTCTCACACACATACAGACTGACTGACGCAGGCCCTCCAGCGAGCAGCCCATCTCTGGAGTCAATCAGAGAGGGGAAATACCTTGGCCTGACAGGACCCCAGAGAGATGGGAGGGGAGGAAAGGGTCTGGACCTCAAGCCCCCACAGGAAACCATTTTTCTCAGCCCTGCCTTACTGTACGGTTCAGGCACTCAAACCACTGACACAGATATCGACCGACTGAGGGCCAGCATACCTCATTCATGTAGCAATAGCAAGTGTGTTGACAGCTCTCATTTCTTTGTGGTAATACTCAGAGGGTGTGAGAGGTTGTCCAGAATACAGGTAGAGGAAAAGGGGCAAAATGAATTGATTAAGTCCGTGCAAAAGGGCACATATGTACAGTATGTACACACTCACCTGAAAGGACTGGGAAAGGATGACAGGCAGATGTCAAAGAAAGGGGTAGAGTCCGCAGGTAAGGACAGAGGAGACTAGAGGGTAAAAGGAGGAGGAATAGAAGAAGAGGAGAGGGAAATTATCAGAAGAGTATGGAGGAGAAAGAGCATAGCAGGGCGATATTAGGCCGCAACAGCTGAAATGAGTGGGTTTCTGTATGGAAGCCTAAAGAAGAAACAATTAAAGTCATCTAAGGCCAGGCATTAAGTTTGGGAGGATGGGAGAGAAAGGAAAAGGGAAATAAACTGTTTATAACAGTGCATGTGAAAAGGACAAACACCATGAACTGAAAGCAATGCATGTGTGACTCATTCCAATTTATGAGGGTATGAACTAGCAAGAGTTGAAATCGAGTGTAAATGTCACCCATTGATGGAATTAATGCAAAAAGTTTGACTCCTTTCAATGTATTAGCTGCCTAAAAAAACCTTTTTAACACTCAATGTATGGGAGACTATCAACTCATCTTTTGTTGATTTTATCTCAAAAACATTTTCTGGAAATCAACACACCAGGGACAATATTTCCAACGGATCATTAGTCTTAATGGACTGGATCAGACTAGTCTTCAATGAGTCATCGCTGGAATACAAAACCTAGACATTTAGCAAATCCTGAGGGATTTGAAAGCAAACTGTAGGTTTTAAAATATTATTTTAATGTCTTTTTGGACACTACACTTTAAAATAAAATGGAATTTAGATGAACAAAACCTTTTTTATTTAGATACAATTAAACATGGACTATTGGTACGCTGCAAACTAATGATTAACAATCATTACTCAAGACAAGACGGACCATCTTTCAATTAAATTTACAACGAGGCCTCACTTTACAACACAACTGTGGTGTACAGAACAGCTTAGCAGGAAACATCTGGAGCTGGTTGAAGATGACCATGGTGTGTACCATGCATGTTACATTCCCCAGTCTCCCACATATCAACCAAAGAGCAACAACATCTGCTCCGGCTTGGCAGTGCATGAGGTGAAACAACATGCCTAAACATGTAAAACCAATGGCAGAGAAACGGAAATGTAACAAGAATAATCACATGTAAGTAGACGCCCCATAGCTAATGCCAACATGGCATTAATGCCAATAATTTAGCCAAACCGTGTATTATCTCTGATGTGAGTTAGTTTCCCAGGTCTGTACAGTAGCAGCCACAGTGCACAGCAGCCTCCAGACCAATTCAACGGCAATAGAATTAAAGGACCAAATCCGCAGACATTTTGGACACCAGTTTGGCCTTCTTTTCATGCATGTGAGTGTTGAGGATGCAGTTTTTGTGCCATTAATGGAACTACACTAAATTATTATCGACTCGTGTGTTGATTCATCATAATGAAGACAGACCACACAAATATAAAATTACATCAGTTTTTTAGTATTTAGTTGACTGGGGATTTGTTCACATTTTTGGCTGTCTGTACTTACTTATAAAGTGGCTTTTTCCAGACTAGTGGATTTATTCTAAGGTTAGGTCATCCTTGGATGAAGGATGAACCCAAACCAGAAATCCCCCAAGAGGATCATTGATCTTAACAGACATCAAGCCAAGAGATGGTCTGTATAAAGAAACATGACATCACTTCAATCTTAGGGTCCAATTGACTGTTTAGGGATATTCCTTGTGGCACACATGGGGATTTTCCACTGCTGTAGCACCATTGTTTTCTTGCACTGGTTATTACAGAGTGTAAGTGTTTTTTTACCACTTGAAAACAAGGAAGGGTGATCTTGTTTGTTTAGGAGTAGAGCTTGTTGGAACCTGCATGCACTTCTATCACCACTTCAAAAAATGTCAGTTATCTTAGCATGTGTCTAATAAACACTGACCTCTGTAAAACTGTCTGACCTGGATGCACATTTGGGAGACATGAAAGTTGATAAAGAACACAAAAGCTTACTTACTGAGGGAATTATTTTTCTAACTTTTCGGTATAGGAGACGAGGAGAGCACACAAACAAACAAAGGAAGCAGGCATTAGCTTGGAAGGTTTGCAGGTGTTTGGTCATGGTGTAGGATTTTATTTTTACAAGGGGAAGGGGTGTGTTTCTCTTTCTCTTTGGGAGGCTGGCTAAGCCCTGGATCTCTGGCTTTGGTATCACCACTCCCAAATCTGCTGCACCCCCAAGCCCTCCTAACCTCACACCCTTTTGGCAGCAGCTCCAGGGGAAATAAGCTGATTCAGCAGAGGAAAAAATGTGTCCCTGGCCAAATCTTTCTCTCCCTGCACACAAAGCTCAGGGGAAGCCTCGACATATGGCAGGATTTGCTCATTACTGCCCTTTTATCCACCCAAAAAAACAACGCAGGCCAACAAAAAAAGCTAGTATTTTAAACGAGCTTTAAAAAGAGGTCTTGTAGACCTGTTACTCGTTCTAACCAACCAACTACACAGAGAGTTTGCTCAATAGGTACAAACTTACCTTTTTCCTCCAGGAATTTTCCGCATCTTGGAGCTGACCGAAGCGATCAGCCAGTGATGTCTGGATCAGCTCGGTTGGCTTTGCCTTCTTCAGTCTGTCCTTCTTCTCACCATCGCTAGTGAAGTCTGCCAGTCTGATAATCCCAAAAGACACATTAGTTCTTAACCCTGATTTTTCAAGACAGTATTGATATTCACATTTGTTATATTTACTATGTATTTAAGTATTGGTAACATTCAAACACACTGCTATAGCCTGTAATGGTTATTTAATTTATGGGTGCTTTAGTTATGTGTCTCAAATGAAAATGAATTTATTTAAATATACTGAAAGGGTGCAATGATAGATCTTTGTGTGGACAAATTTTGTGGAATTGAATTCTAATGGTGTCACTGTTCTCAAGTCTGAGCTATAAGAACTTAAACAATATTATAAAAATATTGGAGGGACAAACTGACTGCGATGACTTAAGTAAAACAGTGTAAGTGTATTCAGAGCTAAAGATGTGCATTGCCCTTGAGGCAACAAGTAAGTTTTATTTAATGTTTTTATTTTACATTAAGCCCCCACACTTCATAATAACGCATGCTGTTTGTGTAAATCCAATGACCTTTGTTTGAGTAAGGAGCCCTGGCTTCCATTCAAACTGCTGTCCAGGTCTTCAACATCCTCTGACACTGTGGACCTCTGCTCCAGGCTCTCGTCAGGCGAGGGACTCCGCATCTCCTCATAGCTCCCTCTACTGCTACTGCTGCTTCCCCCAGTCTGTTGTCTACTGATGCTGAAGCTCCCTCCATCTGTGATATCATCAGTTAATGACTCATCCTCTCTTTCATTTTCCCCATTGGCCTCGTCCTCCATCTCCTCTGCCTCCTTCTCCTCATCCTCCTCCATCTCCTCCATCTCCTCCTCGCTCTCGGGGTGGCTGAGAGTGACACTGCTTTGTCGGGCTGGCGCGCAGTCCTGCGTCGAGCCCTCGCTGTGGTCCGACTCCACGCTGGTGGAGCGGCTTTTCTTTAGGATTCCCTTGATGCCTCGTGGCCCTGAGTCTTGGCGCTGAAGTGAGGCAAGCTGGCAGGGAGGAGACGGAGGGGGGGAGGCGTCTCTGTTCTTGTTGAGGGGGAGAGCTCTGTCAGAGTGGAGGCTAGAAGGCTAAAGTAGAGAGGGAGAAAGAGAGAGAAATGTTTTTTACTACCAGCTGTAACATTTATAATATCTGGAAAAGATTAAATAAAGTTGCAGTACTACTTGAAGTGTATTCCACGGTCCCGATTATAGCATAACTCTCTCTGACCAGGCCTGACCAACATTTTCCAATTTAAGCTCCTCTGCAGTTTCCACATGAACAGTGAAAACCCCTTTTCTTACTACACAAACATATACACAAACAGACACTGTTGTCCCAAGTACTACTGTTCCTGCTTTCAGAGACCTACTGCTGTTATCAAGAGAATATGTGTTACTGGATGTCAGATGAATTAGGGGGTTAAAGGGATATAAAAGTGGAGATAAGGGGGGAAAAAAGAAGACATAAAGCTTGTAAAAGTGGAAACAATGGTGATTAGAAAAAGGGATTAAGTTTAATGGGTGGGAGAAGAAGAAGCAAACAAACAGTGTGTCAGCAAAGATTATTGGGGGACTCCTCCTTTGTCAATAAATCTGCAAGATGTGTTGGGATGTTTGGGACATGTTTGTTGTTTTTTTCCAGAAAGGAAATAGCACATTAATAGAAAACATATGTTGCGTTGAGTAATGCTCTAACTGTAAGACAAAAGCCTTTTGATCAAAGACAGCATAAAATCTTAGACCTTTTGAAAATGTGATAATGCGTTTTAAAGAGTAATACAGTAAATATTGACATGAAATAACCCATACACACACACATGCCCTTTTGTGTGTCTTCAATATGTTATTGCTTAGATGATACAGCAGCAGCAGCTGGAACAACAGCAGAAGACCTACTGACAGGTCAAAGGTTATGAGGGAGTGCTGATTTAGGAGGAGATGAAGGGACAAGCAGATTGTGAGGCCAGCTGGGTGTAAAAGTGCAATGCTAACCAGGTGGTCTTCTGAAATGAAAACCACCAGTGTATAAAGTGTGTGATAAATAGTCCATACTTTCATTACTTGTGAGGGGTCAGTTTAAGATCAGGGTGATGTGATCACATTTTGTCCAGATGCAACTGTACATCGGTGACATGAATTACAATCCACACGTCAACTTCAAAAACAATAAAAACTAAACTAGACCAGACCCAGAGGTAAACAGAGCCAAAGTTAAGGTGAGTAAGAGTTTTGGAATCGGCTCGCATGCGGTGGGAACATTTGTCAGATTTGCAACAAAAGTGGTCAAAAATATGATTCCTTTCCAAACAAAATTCAGAGCGATACCTTTGTATGAATTTTTTAGAAGACTTACTGGAGAAAGAAAACATACTGACCTTCTTTTCTTCCTCAGTGGCAGCATATTCACACTCATCTTCAGCTTCATCTGTGGCCTCTTTCTCATCCATTACTTTGCTTATATCAGTTTTGGAAAGGCTGAAGCAGACGGTAGAAACAGACAGAAAAAAAAAACATCATAATATTTAATGTCAAAACAATTCAGCCATTATATACTGAGGTTGCAGGAAAACCACAAACTGCAATTATTCCAATGTAACAATCATTAGTCTGTTGTGCCACCACCACCCTTCTGTTATAGATGCATAACCAGTGGTTAAGGATATATTTAGTTACCATCTGCATTTTTTACGTTATACTAAATTAGTATAACTACAGTAATACAGTAGCAGATAACTACCCCAAACTGTTACTGAATCTATCTGGGTAAAGTTTGAACCAGAGAGTCATCAGAACAACAAGGAACATTTTAATTTCAATATTATTTAATTGATCAGGATTAAGCCTAATGAGAGAATGTGTAAGAATGACTATTCTTTTCATAGGTTTCACAATCTTTACTGTTAATCTGCCAATCTACAGT